GGATCAGACTGTGTGGGAGAATCAGGGCTGGGTGAATGCTTGACCGGGCTGCACAGATGTGTATTTGTTGGTAAATGGCCTGTCATGGCCCCTACCCCAGCTGAGCCCTCTCTGAGACCTCCGGAGCCCCTGCCATGACAGCGCCCATTCTGTCAATGGCACCCCACACAGCGTCTGACATTCCAAACAGCCTCCCTGAGTGTGTCATGGGGCCCTGGTCTTCTGTGGGATCAGGTGAGTGAAAGCAGGTTCTGCAGAAGGAACTAGGGAGCCTAGAAGAATGGGATCTAGAAGGAAATAAGAAGCCAAAATGGGAGCTTCCGTTTAGGGACTGAAGGAAGGGCCCCGTAAACTAAAAGAGAAGGTGTGCCACAGGAGTCCCGTAAGGAGGTGCCAGGGTGCCAGGCGGGGCGGTGATGGGGAGACCGTGAGCTTGCCAGGAGCTTAAGCAGGTGACCAGGGACTGGGGCCCTCCTCACTGCTGAGCCTGCCGGTGGGGAGACAGCTCAGCCTTGGGGCAAGGTAGGACCACCGAGGAGAGACCCTGGCAAGGCCTCAGGAATCAGGACTGGACCAGGAAAGGAGCAAGTGACAGTGAGGGGCATCAGGAGGAGTCTGTGTCCAAGCTGACCTCTAAAATGGACTGACGCGTGGCTACTAGGAGAACATGGTGTGTACCCCAGATGAGCCCCTGTCAGGCACGGTGGACGACACTTAGGTCCTGCTTGAGAAGATGAAGGGTGAGTCCCACGTGCTGCCTCCTGAGGAGAAATCCCCTCTCAATTCTTAGCCTTTTTTTTTTTTTTTTCTTTTTCTTTTAGGATTTTGCTATAGGATGCATGTGCTTGCCAGAGAGAGACAGTGAGAGGAAAATGAGAAATCACCCCCTGGGGGGAAGGCCATGCTCAATCCCTTCAACTCCTGAGATTTGGGGCACACACATACATGCACTTGGCGTGATTTTCAAGCCACCAGCTCTAGGACTTGAACAGCGGTCAGCCATGTGGGAGTGCAACCGTGACACCAACTGCAGCCCCCTCAGGTTTATCTGTCTTTGGGATGGCAGCAGAAAGGTGCTCTGGGGTCAGCAGGTGGCATGGTGGTTAAAGCATTTGGCTCCCACATGGCTGACTGCTCAGTTCCAGTCTCGGACCAGAGCTTGAAAGACACACTGGGTGTGTGTGGGCACGTTCACATCGGAGAAGAGACTGGAAGGGAAGGGACTGCAGTAAGGCCATTGCCCCGGGGGTGAGTTCTCACTTCTCCCCATCTCCGGTGAGCACACACTCTCCACAGCAAGTTTAAAGAAAAAAAAAAAAAAAGGGAAGGAAGGAAAGAAAGAAAAAAGAAAGGAAGAGAGAAAAAAAAGGGAAGAAAGAAAAAAGAAGAAAGAAAGGGAAAGAAAGGAAGAGGAAAAATAAGAAAAATAAAAGAAGACAGAAGAGAAGAAAAGAAAGACGGATGCTCAGGACACATGGCACAGCACCTGGCCGAGGTGACCTTTTGTCTTGCAGCTGGAGGGGGGTTCTTTGGGCTCCTGTCGGGCTTCAGGCCACACCGAGCCCATCGCTGGTTCCAGCCCGACTCCGCCCGCCCTGCTGATGAGAACCACGGCAGGGAGCTGCGTCCTCCTTTACTCCCGCTGCTCAGTCCAGAACCACTCACGCATTGAAGTGAGAAGAGACACGTGGTCTCAGCACTTAACTGCGTTGGCTCTGGAAACTGGATGGTTCTGCCTACCCACATTCATTTCTCCTTCTTCTGGTAACAACTCAATGCCCCTTTGAGGAAACCACCTTTTTCTTTTTTCAAAAAAATTTAAAAATTGTGGTTAAAATACCATCAACATAAAACTTACCAGTAGCATGAAGTACATTACACGGTTGTGCAACCTTTGTGGAGAAAATCATGTTGTGTGGGTCAGATCCCAACTCCTGAGCCCATTGGAACATCCCGTTTCCCTCCCCAGTGACTGGCACGTAACAGACACATCACGGGAGGCAAGTTCAGCCCCTGAGAATCAATCTGAGGGCAGTTGCTAGAAGAAATGGGAAAGAGGTTTTCTCTATCTGCTTCATTAGCCACAGGAAGTTTGTCCCAACATGGTGGGACAGGAAAGTGGGGTAGGAATTATACTTGGAACTGGAAGCAGCCATCTTTGCCACCAACACCTGCCCGAGAGTGAAGCCTACACAGAGGAAAGCAAAGCTGAGGAATGGCGATGGATGGATTCCTGGCAATGTTGTTTGAGTTCCTGGATCTAGCCATGCCTGAAGCTTATTGCTCATAGACATCTTTTTTTTTTTAAAGTGTAAATATTTATTTATTCCATGAGAGAGAGAGGACATTAGTCCCAAGAGGGTCCTGAGGCTGTCGTTACCTTCAGCCTCAGTCAGTCCTGAATCTGGGCACACACATGCTTGCCATGCTCAGAGGGATCTACAGATGCAAACCCAGAACCTTCCCACATGTGTGCGCCTCACAAAGCTTTACACTTTGCAGCTATGCCACCCCAACTTTTCAATTATTTGAAACAATAAATCTCACAATTTTTTTTTTTAGTTTTTTTAGTTTTTCTTGCTATATGGCACATGCACTCACTGAAGAGACAGAAAGCAATAAATCACCCTCCCTGGGGGTGATGGCCATGCCACAATCCTTTCTCCTATAGTCTCCTCTTGGGAGTTTGGGCACGCATGTACACATGCCTGGTGTGATTTCAAGCTGCCAGGTCCAGGACTCGAACTGTGGTCGACTACATAGGAGTCCAGCAAGGTAACCATTACTCCATCTGCCGGTCCCTAAATCCCACCTTTTTTTTTTTTTGGAGAGGTTTTTGCTATAGGGCATGTGTGCTCAACAGACAGACAAGACAGACAGAGAGAGACAGAGAGACAGAAAGAGAGAAATCACCCCACAGGGGGAATGGTCACGCTGCAATCCCTTCTCCATTCTCCTCTCGGGATCTTGGGCACGCATGCACACATGCCTGGCGTGAGTTTAAGCCACTGGGTCCGGGACGTGAATCGCAGTCGACTACGTGGGAGTCCAGCGACATAGCCATTACGCCAACTGCTGGTCCCCCCACATTTTTTTTTTTTACAAGCCAATTTGCTTCAGGTTTTGTTATTTCCAAACAACCCTAACGAATAGACCCTGAATTCAGGTTGAGAGTTGCATGTGAGACTTTGTAAGATCCAAGCATCAATAGCCTTTCCCCTCCCTCCTCCTTCCTCTCTGAGCTTTTGAAAATCACCAGCTAACCCACCCCAGAGCCCTTCACAAATGAGCGCGTAACATTTATTTGATGATTAAATTGAGAAAAATGGCTTGGAGGGAAATGAACATATAAAGAAGTTCTACCCAAAGCAAGAAAATAAATCCTGTAAATATTCGTCACTGATGTGCGAAAACGCAGCAAGCGCTCCAGCACGCACAGTGCCCTGTAAGCACAGGAGAAACGAGCGTGTGCTAGGAAAGATGGTGGTTTGGGGCCATGGCCGGAGGCCCACCTCCCCACAATTACGAGGCTGTGGTGTGGCGGCCCACCAGCTGTCCCGCCCAGAGGCTGGCCTGGCTGCGTGCACCCCGCCGCCGGGCGGAAGTGACAGTCAGGGCTAGCATCAGTCTTCCCAGAGCGGCCTGAGGACCAGAGACCTGCACCTCAGTGCGGTCCCAGCACAGTCCCCGGGACAGAGCCACCAGGAGCCTACTGTCTGGAAGTTCCTGCTCCTCCATGAAGAGTTTAATGACGACCGGGATCAAGTTTACATGGCCTCATGGAGTCCTCACGAGGGCACCCACGAGGTGAAAGCATTCCCGGAGACGCCGGTTTCTGTTTTTTTTGTAACCATTAGTGGCTGCAGTGGAGTTCTCCCCCAGGCCCACGATTCTATGCCCCTCCCTAGAACCTCTCCGGCATACGTGGGTAAACCCACTGGGTGTGTGTGAAGAAAACAAAGTCTCAGGTTATAAAACCCAGCAGACACCACCATCCGTGGGACAGTCCGGCCCAGCTGTGGCGGGGCTCCTAC